CGCCTGATATCTCAAGTTATGCAGAAATGCACATCCAACAATTTCGCCTCCTATTTGAGAGGTGTCAGCCCAAATTTAACCTCTAGAGCACGAAAAAAATTCTTCCCATTCACTAACGTCCTATTCAATTCAAAAACAAAAATGGCGAGTCTCGTCCGCGCAGGCGCAGGCTTCCCATTTTTTATGACAAATTTTTATTAAATACAGTATGGCCATCTATTTACATATAACTACTGTATTTCTGGAAAATATATACAGTATTTTCCACAGTGGTGGCGGTGACGGTGGTGACAGTAGTGACTGGTGGTGATACTAGTGGCGGTGGTGGTGGTGATACTGGTGACGGTGGTGATATTGCTTATGGTGGTGATGATGGTGATGACGGTGATAGTGATGGCAATAGTAAGTTTATTCAGGTATAGGTACACATAAATAGTTACATAAATTATCAAACATGCAGCACATGTGTAGATTACCCAGGATAACCTAAAAAAAAAGTCACTGACTTATTTCCACTGGGATCCTTGTAATATCTTATTATTTAGACCTTAACAATTAAAACAGCTATGTGAAAAGCAGTTACAATAAAAGGATGTATACTAGGAATAGGGTAAACTGAGTTATTTACATTATAACATTGAAGAGATGATCAATGGTGATCAGCTATACATTAGGTACCTTTTCAGCTCTCTTCCTGAGGTGGCTTATGTTATGACAGGCTTTGACATGTGCAGGCAGTCCGTTCCACTCCTTTATTAATATACAATAAAAGGTGTTTGAAGCCTGATCACTGACTAGGTAATTATAAGTTGTGTTCCCTTCCCCGAGTATCATACTTGGTTTAGTTCCCAGCCTTGACAAACTTGGCAGCAAGATATTCTGGACTCTGCTTGTGAGCAACTTTATAAACGAGATTTAACTTCATTGTTTTACTGTCTTCAACATTCAGTATATCCAGTTGTTGTAATTCATCCTGGTCTACATGCTCTCTTGGACAGAGGATGAACTTCACTATTTTGTTCTGGGTGATTTGTAGTCTATCTTTCAGTTTTTTGTTAAGGTAGAGTACCATGAAGAGCAATAGTAATCTATATGACATTGTATAAGAGGTAGACACTAGGGTCCTGCGAGTCTCAGTAGGTAGACACTGTGCTTGTCTGTAAGGAACTTCATCTGGCATTTACTTTCTTCACTACACTGTTCCCTACCAACTCTCCTGACATGTTTAGGTCAAAGGGGATTCCCAGATATTTCACTGAAGACACTGAAGTGATGGGTTCCCCATTACACTGGACATTAAAACTGTTTACCCTTTTCAGTTTATATTTCGTGCCAAAGAGTATGGCTTTATGGCTTCCGTTTTCCAGAGGTATAACGATAATTTGTTGTCTACTAACCATCTGCCACAGGACTCTAGTTCTAGTAGAGGTTGTGATGATGGTGACAGTGGTGATGTTGGTGATATTGGTGATGGTGGTGATAGTGATGATGGTGGTTGGTATGTATAGGGAAAAACTGAGAAATTTCTATCATATTAATTATGGTATACAGTATAATATATATTTGAAGTTTACCGTATATTTCCACGTTGCAGGGCGGTCGAAGCGAGGCTTGCAAATCTTGAATTTTAGTTATAATATGCATATAAACAAGAGAATTTACGTTATATTGCGTAGAACATATAACCTTGCAGCAGTAGTGATGGTGGTGGTCATAATAGTCATGGTAGTGTGGTGGTGGATGAATGGAAACGAGTGATGACTGTAAAGAAACCACGGTACGGGTGGTTGCTGAGGTGAAGGTGGTTGCTTGGGTGATGATAGTGGTTACTTGGGTGATGATGGTGGTTGGGATGATGATGGTGGTTGCTTGGGCGATGATGGTGGTTGCTTGGGTGATGATGGTGGTTGCTTGGGTGATGATGGGTGAAGATTAATGAGCTGATGGCCTACACGAACTCGGTTATCTTTCCAATTATTAAATAATGCTAAGGAACTAGAATAATAAATGGCACATTTTATCCGAGTGCCTGAGAGCAGCGTACCAACTGTATCACATGTAGCCTTGGAGATATATCCTCTACAGCCTTGTATCTTAAGTTACTCGAGTACCTTGAAACAATGTCGTGTATCATTAAGTGACTCGAAACACTGGTAGTGACTGCGTGATGCCTAGTGGATGTCTTATGGACACTGGTAGTGACCGTGTGATGCCTAGTGGATGTGTAATGGACACTGGTAATGACTGTGTGATGCCTAGTGGGTGTGTTATGGACACTGGTAATGACTGTGTGATGCCTAGTGGATGTGGTATGGACACTGGTAGTGACTGTGTGATGCCTAGTGGATGTGGTATGGACACTGGTAATGACTGTGATGCCTAGTGGATGTGTTATGGAATGGTCATGAGTGAAGCATATAAATATGACTATGTAGCTTATGGCATTTTATTTAGAAACAAGAACATAAGAAAGGAGGAACACTGCAGTAGGCCTGTTGGCCCATACTAGGCAGGTCCTTCATACTCCATTCCACTAACAATATTTGCCCAACCCAATTTTCAGTGCTACCCAAGCAATAAACTTTGATAATTCTGTGTGGAAAAAGACACTTATGTACATCTCCTCATTGTAAAGACACAGTACTTTTATAATTCTATTTACTCATGTGCAAGTCCCACTCAAATCCAAAACCTCTCACTCATGTTTTATCCACCAGACTCTTCAATAAATTATTGATGAAGTCAATGGTGGATGAAATGTTCTCTTAATAAATGCCATAAACTGCACACTTTGTCGTATTTACATACTTGTCGATGTATTCTATTACCGATGTACGTGAGTGCGTCATTAAAGTGAGGAATATAACTTGGAGGCAAGGCAAACCATACCACGGGTGGGGTTTGAACCCTCGGTCGGAGAGTCTCAAAACTCCAGACAGTCGCAATCGTGTCATTTCGATTTCGTGAATCATGTAGTCAGGAAAGGCAAGCACTGTTTTAATCGAAACAGAATATACTGGCAGTCTGTGAATTGCTTGCATGAAGTCACGTCTTCAACTACAAGCAATGTGCAAAGCGCTGTTATGGGATGGTGGAGGCGGAGGCGTGAATGTCATGGGAAGCTGTATCTCCCGTGGAGACGAGGCCCTAAGGGTGTGTGGGTGTGTGTGTGTGTGTGTGTGTGTGGGAGAGAAGAACTTACCTTAAAGTTGCCCAACTTGTCTGCGACAGCTCCAGCAACTGGGGGTCCCATGATGGCTACGAGAGGTGTGATGGCTAGCAGCACCCCGGCTTTGTCTGCCCCGAACCCCAGCGCCTGCAGGTGCACCGCCAGATACGGGTACAGAGTAGCGTTCGCTGAGGAGAGAGAGATTGATGTACTACGAATATTGAGGCTTTACACGTGAAGTTATGGGTTGCTGTGACGGTCATTTCTCAACACTACTTGATGTGTTGTTCGATGTAGTAATCAACAAGATGATAAGTTAAATCTAACTTTCTACGGCCTCCCAAGGGATTCTGAGAGACGAAAACGAAGAATTTCTGCCATGAGGTCGGCAAAGTCTAGGAATCAACACAAACATTTCCTTCAAAGGAAGGTTTCCCTTTTGGATGGGCTGGTGAAAGGAGAAACCCCCTTTGGGGAATGAGGGGGCCAAGGATTTGGGAGAAGACCAGTCCATGTCTCCTGGTTGAGGATTTGCCTTCATCCATGTTATAATGCTTCGAAGTTTGTGTTTCCTATAATACATAATGATGTGACACCCCGCTATTATAGGCGAGAGTGATGTGTAGGGGACATGTTACCTGAAGAATTAGATTAGTTAGTAAAAGACAGGTATAACCCGGGGCTCAAGGGGTGACCCGGTGGTTCTTTAGGTGGGTGTTGGGCTATTGTCATCATGGGAAACTAATCTTTTTGAAAGTTTCCGGTTACCAGTATTAGGGTCTATGGGGGATCGGTGACAGGCTTATGACTATAACTGTCGATATACCTGATGAGTTAACTCTGTATATTAGAAGTGATCAAGGTCTCAGGACCGAAACGTTTTCTAATAAATATGCCCTAGTGTTTCCTTATGTTTCTAAACCAATCTGTTGGTATCTATTACAAAGGTTTATACCAATAATAATAATAATAATAATAATAATAATAATAATAATAAACAATAATAAGAATGACAGGAACTACAGCAACAATAACAAGAACAGCAGTAATGATACATTCATAAGAGAAGCGCTAAACCCAAGAGGGGCCATACAGGGGAATGAGAGTAATGGGACTCAGTCTAAGACAGGGGGGGGGGTTGCTTCAGTTCCTTGGATGAAGATCCTTCCCTGAAACAGTGAGCGGAGAAAATAAGGATTTAGTAGCAGGATTTGAAATTGTCAGTGTCACCAGTTGTGTCATCACAGCCTCACCAGTTGTGCCATCAGTCACCAGTTGTGTCATCACAGCCTCACCAGTTGTGTCATCACAGCCTCACCAGTTGTGTCATCACAGCCTCACCAGTTGTGTAATCACAGCCTCACCAGTTGTGTCATCACAGCCTCACCAGTTGTGTCATCACAGCCTCACCAGTTGTGTCATCACAGCCTCACCAATTGTCATCACAGCCTCACCAGTTGTGTCATCACAGCCTCACCATTTTTGGCACACAGCCTCACCAGTTGTGGCATCACAGCCTCACCAGTTGTGTCATCACAGCCTCACCAGTTGTCATCACAGCCTCACCAGTTGTGTCATCACAGCCTCACCAGTTGTGTCATCACAGCCTCACCAGTTGTGTCATCATAGCCTCACCAGTTGTGTCATCACAGCCTCACCAGTTGTGTCATCACAGTCTCACCAGTTGTGTCATCACAGCCTCACCAGTTGTCATCACAGCCTCACCAGTTGTGGCATCACAGCCTCACCAGTTGTGGCATCACAGCCTCACCAGTTGTGTCATCACAGCCTCACCAGTTGTCATCACAGCCTCCCCAGTTGTGTCATCACAGCCTCACCAGTTGTGCCATCAGTCACCAGTTGTGTCATCACAGCCTCACCAGTTGTGCCATCAGTCACCAGTTGTGTCATCACAGCCTCCCCAGTTGTGTCATCACAGCCTCACCAGTTGTGCCATCAGTCACCAGTTGTGTCATCACAGCCTCACCAGTTGTGTCATCACAGCCTCACCAGTTGTGCCATCAGTCACCAGTTGTGTCATCACAGCCTCACCAGTTGTGCTATCAGTCACCAGTTGTGTCATCACATCCTCACCAGTTGTCATCACAGCCTCGCCAGTTACGTCTTAACAGTGTCACCAGATATGTCATCACAGCCTCACCTTTGTTATCCGTTGAATCGTTCAAGGTAATAAAAAGTCACCCTTAGTTATACCTCCTTTTTTCTCAACAGTTCCATGCATGTACTTGCCACAGATGCTCTTTACCCAGCCCCAAACAAATTACAGGTATGTATGAAAAGTTTTGTAGGCTTTCACATCTTTTCCTTTGCTGGAGAGATATTGTTCACTAAGTAACGATACAACTCATGAGTTTATCTCACAGCTTAATGCTGAAAGTTCACGCAGTCAGGTCCGATATGGCTGACTGCGTGAAGAGATAAATTAAGAATATAAGTGGTTCATAGAGTTCCCTTTTGCATTCCTTAAGAACTCTTGATAAAGGCTCATCAGGGCCCGGGGATTTACTGGTCAGCCATATCAGGTCCGATATGGCTGACCAGAGTAGATAACCTGACTCTAGTCTCGTGGACCCACGGTACCGAGGACTCACGGTACTCGCGTGTGAGAAACACTGTGCTATACTCAAGTGATAGTGATAGTAAGGGGATTTACTGGTACACAGTAGTCTGGTGAACAAGATGTTGTACTCATGGCGTGGTGAGGTGAGTTACACGTTGACTCGCACTAGTCTCATCAGATATGTTGGCGAATACTTGGACTGCACTGCAGTATTGGTTAGATGTGCTACGGGTCACTAGAAGTGAAGGCGTTGAGGCTACATACATTGGACAAACGTGAAGACACAATAAAAGTAATTAGTTTAGCTATGATATGTAGAACACTGCATTGTCATATCTATTAGCATTTTGGTAAGAAAGTTATTTAAATGCGAAAAGGATTTTTTGGCACTATACATATACCAATGAATTCACTAAAAATCCGTAGTTAGGGGACGAACGTTAGGATGACGTTTCGGTCCGTCTTGGACCACTGTCCAATAACAATTCAGTTGTAACTTGGCAGTAGTCCAGGACTGACCGAAACATCAGCCGAAGTTTCCTAAGTGCGGATTTCTGATATATTGTTCCAGCCATGGTATTGTGACTGTTTATTCTTTATATAATAATGAGGAACATTGTGCACTTGATTCGGGAATACGGTCAAGAGGTTAGTCAGGATGTCTCCACTTCAACTCACTTGGCTTTAATAAGAGTTTGTAATGTGTTGCGTACTAACACACTACACACACACACACACACACACACACATATATATATCTATATATTTATATATATGTAGTGTGTTAGTGAACTTCCAAGCGCTTACGTGATTTCTCACTATTTTTTCACAGTGGTTGTTTTGCAGACATGGGGGAAAGAAAAGGCGTGATAACGAATGTCATTGTATAAACAGGCTTGAACTGTGGTCCATGCATGTAGGAGATACATTCAGCCAGGGGTTACAACTTTACAGCCTGTACCAGTCACCAGCCCACGATTGTACCAGTCACCAGCCCTCTGTCTCATCCCACACACCCTGAAACTATCTTGGTACATCTTATTTCATTCCTCCTAAAACCTTATATTCTATAAACCATGTCACAGTTCTGGTTATAAAATAATTATCTTGTAACCTCTTCCACTATGTGTCAAAAACATGAACCACGATCGGAGACCGTCGGAGGATGGCGCATGTGTGCAAAGTTTCTGAAGTATTAGGTGACAAACTTGTCAGAGAAAGCCAAAGACCCCAGAGCGGCCAGCTTTGTTTTCCAGATACTTAGTGTTGTGATCCAGAGTGGAAATGCCTGCAGCATTTTGGTCAATTGGCCCACCACTGGAAGGCCAAGTGATGGTGAAAGACAGCTAGGCGAAGGTATTTTCTCCTATGTAAGTCTACCTTGGTAGGAAACGGCCAATATACTACAAGAAATAATGGTTTTCAATATACAAAGTGTAATTCCAAAATAGGAGAGGATGTAGGCGTTCATGTTGTAGATGAATCAGTCAGGAGGATACAAGTAATAGTGGTTGTATTCGTGAGAAAGGTCAGGGTGATTACCTCCCCCTCCCCCCCAACCCTTCCGAAGGGGCGGAGGAGCCCTACTCTAGGCCAAGGTCACCACTGGTCATGCAACTGCCAGCTCCCACTGCCATCCCCTCCCTCCCTACCACAACCTCCATCCTGCTCTGTTCAGGGACCTGCTGAGATACGTTAAAAAAAAGCGCCCCAACTGGTCTGATGCTCGAACCTGGACTCATGTATAATCCCATTCCTCCCCCCCCCCAGACATAAATATTCATTTTGCTCGCTAAATTTTGAATATCGTGTTTGTAAGCTTTCTATTATTTGCTAAATATGTAAACTGATGTACGACTAGAAGAAAGACGTCACTGGTGTTGAAGACAATACTACAGTGCTACTGTTGTCAATTCTAGTCTCTGGGATGTTGTTTAGACCAGTTTTTGTGGTACCTGACTATGTTGGTCACTTGTTTCCATGGCCACTCAGAGAATATTCATTATCATAATGATATATTAATTAATTATTAAAGTATTAAGAAGGGACACTCAGAAATATATAGGAGATAAAGACAAGACACAAGAAACTGCGTAAAAACTTTATAACAGCGTTAAGTTTCGCACTCCTTGAGCGAAACGTTGTGATAATAAAGGTTTACACTGTTTCGTTTTTTCATTTACCAGAAATATTTCTGACTTTAACTGCACCTTGAATTATCAGGTAGGAAGCTGCTGCTAGCACGAACTGTCTTATGGAACACCACAGCGAAATATATTTCCAAAGACATGCTTAGTGGCCTCTCATACACACGGAAATATAAAAATGGCAGCTGAAACCGGCAAATAATACACATACACACACACACACACACACACTCTCTCCCCCTCCCTCTCCTCTCCCTCTCTCTCCCTCTCTCTCCCTCTCTCTCCCTCTCTCTCCTCCCTCTCTCTCCCTCTCTCTCTCTCCCTCTCTCTCTCCCTCTCTCTCTCCCTCTCTCTCCTCTCTCTCTCCCTCTCTCTCCCTCCTCTCTCTCCCTCTCTCTCTCCCTCTCTCTCTCCCTCTCTCTCTCCCTCCCTCTCTCTCTCTCTCCCTCTCTCTCTCTCC